TAACCCTTTTATGCACTACATGGGTCTAAAGTGACCCGTCTAAGTTTATTTTTTATATTTATTTTATAGCTTGTGCATCAAAGGGTAATAACCTTCCTGCATAAATCAGCAGCAACCTTGATCAAACACAGGTGTATTTAATTATCAAGTGCAGCTTTAGACACTTCAAAGTTGGTTTAGTTGTGTTTGATAAAGTTTGGGGCTAAACTCTGCAGAGGGTTGAGCACCCCTGGTCTACAAATTATTTAGATAGTTTCCTTCATGCTGAATTCAGACTGCATGATTTTAGCCCTGATTTTGACTCGCTGACAGGTTTTGAGAAATTGCAGATGAATGCCTGAAATCACAGGCAAATCGGTGAACTATCAAAGATGCGATCTGAGAGAATCACATGAATCGCATTTTATGAGTCGTCGACACCCATTAAATATTAGTGGGTGGCGGTTTTGGGTGTGGCTTAGTGAAGGGTCAATTGTCTCATACAATTTTCATTTCAGTTTTAGTCATAAATAATTGTAGGCTTGACATTTATAAATAGGGTTTACAGTAAAATTCAACTACAATTTGTTTAACTTATTGTTTTTTCTTTACCTTTTCTTTTCTACAATTAAATTGAATATGACTTTAAAGCTTGTAAACACTAATTTATATAGCATATTTTACATTAAATCTGATTAAAAATGAAAAGGGCGCTTTCACACCTGCCTCAGTTAGATCGGTTGAATCGCACTAGAGCTTGTTTTGCTGTTTGGTGCCGTTACTTTGTGCAGTGGACCTAATGTGGACCAAACACTAAAGTGGTTTATTTGTGGTGAGAACACGATCTGAACTCAAATTACTCATTGCATTTTTGTGCTACACCAGCTATTGTGTTTAGCTGTGCTATACGTTAAAAGATGAGGGTAAGTATTTGTTTTAAGAACAGCTGGTACCTTGCAGACAAACTTCTAAAGTAACTTGTGATGCAGTTTCGCCATTTGCAGTGCATTAAAACACTCTTTTCAAGCTGCATCCATGCTTCATTCACAAAATTTATAGTTTGTATGAAGTGATGCACACAAATTACATACTGTACTTTTGGGATTATTTGTGCGTTAATTCTAACCAATCGAAAAGCAGTTTAGAAAAAGCGCTCGATGACTAATCTAGCCAACAAGTACAACTGTCACATGACTGCATTTTGGTTTGTTTCAACTGGTTAGGACCAGAACAGTGTGGTGTGAAAAGAAACCAAAACCACAGAAAATAAGATTTATTTATAGCCCTTTGTCCAAAACAAATTAACTAAACCAATAAAAGGCAGAAATAAAAAAAAAAAACTCTTCAATACAAACATCACTTCAAGTCTACCTCAGAATTTTTTCAAAAAATGCTTTATGATCGGCATGGATCACTGCAAGCAGAGGGAGGAGTGGGAGTGGCCACCAGAGCAGGGGAAAAGAGGGGCACTTGTACGAATATAGGCGGTGTCTGAATAGTGACAAACTCAACTGATAAAAGACAAAGTCCGCCATTCTCCATTTCTCGTACAGCTCTCCCAACAATATTGCTTGCTTCAAACCAACAGCGTGGCTGTATCTGTCGTGACAGCACCGCAGGGAAAAATATGCAATAAACCCCATGGATAATGGAAACAAACACATACAACCTGTGCCATGCGCAGATGCGGACCCAGTCATTCATTGGGTCTCACAGATTGGCACGTCTGCCTTGCCTTCGAGCACATGCTCTCATGAATAATTTAGAAGCAGAGTCTTCACATAGGATAAGAAAACTCTGCAATAAATAATAATGAGAAACCGAAGCGTCATCACTTCACTAGCAGATTCGCGATACGTCACCGATTTTAATTCTGCCTCTAAAATTATTTTAAACCAGGAGATGAAATTTGTTCAATTTTTTAAAAAGTACTCCAGGGTGTCTTAAATCTTTGGTAATGTAATATTGATGCAATGCAACACAATCAGTCCTACTTTTCAGGAAAATGCAGGTCCACGCAAACATTAAAGACAGTGTTCACCCAAAGGAAAATATACTCAAGAATGTTGGGGAAAAATTTGTTTGCAGCAACTTTGGATGTCAATGGCTGTTTTTTTTTCCTGCACTTTTCAGAATATCTTGTTTTGTGTTTAAAAGAAGAAAAAAACAGTTTAAAGCACAGGTGTAAAGCTTAGTTCCTAGAGGGCCGCAACTCTGCACAGTTTAGTTCCAACCCAAATTAAACACATCTGAACAAACTAATTGAGACCTTCTGGGTTGTTTGATATATTACAATTGTAACAGCATAAACAGCAACACTTGCACAATCAATACCCAGCTGATTCAGTCGTTTCATAGCGAGATAAAAAAAAAAAAAGAGCACCGCGCTTCTTTTTTCCTTGTCAATATAAAAGGCAGTGAGGTGCGCCTCACATTTTTGAAACGGAAAATCACGTTTGCTGTGATCGGCCCCTTAAAGGGTCACGAAACACCAAAACACATTTTTTGATATTGTATATGTGTCCTACACTGCTAAAAACACTATAAGGACACCTATATTTCACTAAAAAGTGTAAATTGGTTGTTTTTGCGTTATTTCAAGCAAATTCGTACTTCCGGTTTGAAACTAATTTTTGAAGCTGCGTCACGGTCATGACATAATAGCGTTGTATTCCAGCGTGCAGATTGGACATCTGTGCCAGAGTGTGTCTTATTACGTCTTACAGTGTGCTGCATTAATGCATGAGTAAGGCTTGGATCAAACCAATCAGCGAGCTCTATTGTGCAACTTCATTAATATTCATTACTGTCATAGTGTTTAGACGAAAGAGACGCCACGTTGTGTTGGCAAAACAAGCGTGAAGTGTTGCTTTTATAGTTTGCTGCCGTTAAGTTTTGTTTTCATTTTCTCTCTGTGAGAGCTCAGCTGGAGTCACGTGTGGATTAACAGTGTACACGACGCTCGACAACAATAACTTGCATGTCTAAGGAGGATTATTGTTTACCTGAGAGTTGTTCTCATCTGCAAACGCTGGGATCCGGATTCGCTTTAGTCTCCTCTTAATAAAGACGCGGCTCTAGTTGCTGGTGATTGTCCTGTCTTTACAGATTTGGTAAGTGAGCGACCAGTGCTCTTTGTTTATTCAGTTTGTTCGTATCGAACCAAGTTAAGTATTGCACAGAGTGTAAACATGTTAGCACTACAACCAAACTTTAACCTCGTGTAGGATTTTCACTGCATTTAGTGACCGGAATAACACACGCGGCTTTCTGACGCTACCTGCCGAGTGCATTTAAGTTTCCGGGAAATGCGGAGGTTTTTTTTCTCTCATTCGCCGTGCGGTATCAAACATTGCATGAAAAATACATGCTTAGAGCAGTTCCTTGAATCAAATATTTTGTTTGTCGCAAGGGACATGAATGAATTCCCTGAATGAAAGAGCCAAACTGCAGTTAAAGTCCACCATTTATTAATTTGGCAAATAATTTGACTACAGATGTCCATGCAAACACAGTCACTTTGTCCCCTGTGTGTGTGGGTGGGTGTGTGTGTGTGTGTTTTGACTCTGAAAGTCACCCCACCCAAACAGACACTCCTCCGACACTCCCCCCTAAACAAAGCTGGACACGGCCACTTTTCTGACTTTTTCCAAAGTAGAGGTGTGAAAACACCCTGCTGAAACGAGGGGGCTTCATGGCCCTTTAATGTGCAACTGCAACACATTATTTGTTACTCGCGGGACAATAACGTATGACGACACGTGCCTACAGACATATTTGCCAAAGAAGCTAAATGGAAGAAGAATATTGCTGTTTGATACCGACGAATTGATGTCAATCCAGCGCTGATGCTGATAGCCTCCTGGATTTGCATCATAACAAAACAAATTGGCTTTAGCTTTCATTTTACAGCTTATAAAGCATGTATGCAAATCAATGCAATATCATATTTAAACAACAAAACGGTTTACAAAAAGTCAACATATGTGCGCGTTGACATTGTCTTTTCATCATGCAGCGCACGCACTTGAACCGCGAGTGAAAAGGGAAAATATAGACTATATAAAATACATAATCTTTAAAATAATGAATTCTATTTAAAATGTAAAAAGGTTTTGTGATATAAAAATGGCGGGGCATTATATAAATGCGTATTTTTTGTGGAGCGAGCAATTTGAGAAAGACTGCTATTTTTATTTGTTGGAAGACAAAAACATATGATTGGAAAAAAAAGCCTATGCCTGTTTTTAAAAAGGATTCAGTCAATGTTTTCATTTTGTAATCTAAATTAATAAATTAAGTAAAAAATTATTTAGGGCATGCCTATTTATTTTATACATTTTATTCAGTTTATTTTGTTTTTCTATGGTGTTGGAAACACTGCAGGTGCGTGAAGATGCTCTGTTGTTATGTTTTGTTATTAATATGCTACCATGTTAAAATAAATTAGTATTTTAAAATGCAATATTTAATGTGTCAGACACAAAATAGACATGTAATTTTTTTTCTATTTAATAACAATGTAATATTTATCTGACCAGTTAACCGTTAATATCCTATTAATGTGCGGTGGTTGTCGGTTAGCAAAATTAACTGAAATGAGCACCACTAATTTGATGCCTAAAATTATGTCAACAAAATGAATAATCACGTTCTACTCTAAAGTTTCAAACTAAAGGTCAAAGCCATGTGTGCTATTTCCCTCAACCTTGCTACATTTTTGAAAAACTGTTGAACCATTTTGAAACACCATTATCATATAAAGCTGTTGCTTAACAAACCCGTCAAAACATGCCAACATGCTTCCCACCACACATACAGAGAATAACAGACTAGGGTGCACATAAAAAAAAGACAAAAGAGAAAGAGAAAGGAGGACAGCGAGAGAAAGACGGAGAGAAAGACGCACATGGTCAGAGGTCTCTGAAGGCTGTCTACAGAGGCCTCTGGTAATGAGCTGGCCTGTACTGAGCTCAAGCTGGAGTTTTGGAACAGAGCAAAACGTTTTCTTCTGTCCATACCTCGCAAAATCCTGGCCAGCCATACTGGGACCCAGACCTTTGAAAATGAGACAGAAATGACCAGTGTGAGCTTCACTGAGCTTCACGCCAACGAGAGAACGATCCAGAAAAAAAAAGTAGTAGTAGTGATGCAATGACGCAGATTTTAATAGACGGTTTACTTAAAAAAAAAAAAAGAGAGAGAGAGAGAAAGGGGGCAAGCAAAAAGAAAAGGGTGACTAGATGAGAGAATAAAGAGAGTGAAGGAGAGAACCTTCTTCATGGGTTGCAGGAGGGTCGCTCTCTTCTTTGAACTCCTCTTTCACGTCATCTTCAGATCCCACTTTACCTACAACAAGATTTGAATGATCACTAAAAACAAATATGTCAGCTGGGAGTTAAAACACTGAAAACTAAGAGGAGCCCACCTTCCTTGACGTCCTGTATGATCTCTTCTGGAAGCACAAAGCTCTTTTCAGAGTTTGGAAATGGAAGTATTTCTGATTCATGCTGTGGCAACAAAATTAAATTTGCTGATTAAATTTGAGTGTTGGATAAAATAATTGCAGCAAACAAATAAAAAAGTAGACAATTGACCCTTCGCTAAGCCACACCCAACAACCGCCACCCACCAATCGTGGCTTAGCAACTGTAGCTACTTGCAGGGGCTCTGTCAAGCTTTCGAGCGAGTATATATGGATTGTGCAAATCTGATACCCGGTATCCTTAAAAGTTTGGACGGGATGGTGGAAATTTTTCCCTTTTCAAAACCTAAAACCCAAGGGGAGAAATGCCAGCGTAGATCAAGCTGTGTGAGGGACGCTAAAGGAGCGGAGCTAAGTCGCTTTTGTTTTGATACTCCTGACACATTCAGTCATAGATGGACGGCAAAAACTCACACACCTTTAACCCTACACAGATCTAAACTGTACTAAAATACAAAGCAGGTTATGTTTCACAGCTGTCTTATTCCTTTTTTTTTTTTTTGCTCAATATTTTGAGTAATGCTCCGTTTAAGCCTTCGCTATAATGTTAGTAACTTAATCATACTAATAGTGAATAGGTCATAATGACACGAGTTATTGATCCGGAAAATACTAATCTGCAAAATCTGTTTACTGAACTTCATATTTCCATCTTATTTCAAGCTAAATCAACAAAACAAACAGAGATATTATCACAAACTGAGCACTTGCAATCAATATACTTTACCAGCAATTATTCTACCATTTGGAACAAATCCATCAGTTTCCCCTTTCTGGTTGTTCTTTCTATGAATGAACTATGTAAAAGCACTGTCGTGCGTGTTTCCTCGCCAGTTAGTAACGCTATATTTCATTGCACAACAATTAATCTATCAGGGTTTTTGGCTAAAAAATAGAGAAATCACGGTTTTTAGTTGTTATTATTAGATTATTTTAAAATTTCACCTCTCCTGAGGCGGCTAGGCTAAGCTACCTTCAATTTTGATTGAATTATTCTCTAATTGGTTGCCTATTATGCCGTGAATATAACCCTGTATTGCATACGGCAGTCCTTTTTTGTCTGGCTCTCTCGGATATCTCACTTGTTCGCCAAAAATGACATTAAATCCCTGGCAATGTTTGACACTGGCGCACACACATTGAAAAAGCTGTGCCAGGCACGAAAGCTTGACAGGCGTAGCAACAGTAACTAAGGAGGGCGGGGCTTAGTGAAGGGTCCATTGACATGGATTGTGTGATAGGGATGGGAGGATAACCAGTTTCAAAGTTTACCACGGTTCAGAAAAAATAAATAAATAAATCAAGGTTTTAGAACCACAAAAATGTTCTGTTATACCATTCCTAAGGTGTATGTAAGATTTTAATCTTAATGTGTTTTTTATGTTTGTAAAGAAATCTTTGTTTTTGAAACTAATAAACACAAAATATTACAAATGTTGCAAATAAAGTAAAATATAGTGTTCAATGGGGAAAAAGGTTGTCATTTTTTTACCCAGACATTTAAAAAGAAATTATTTTAGAGCAGTAATCACAATACCGTGAAATTTTTATCCAAGGTTATCATGCCGTCAGAAACTTATACCAACCCATGCCTATTGTGTGATATCTGAGACTCCTGTTAAACTTGTGCATGTTAACCCTAAAAAGATATTTATTTTGTGATATTTTCAGCTGACGGCGACACAGTGGCGCAGTAGGTAGTGCTGTCGTCTCACAGCAAGAAGGTCACTGGTTCGAGCCTCGGCTGGGTCAGTTGGCATTTCTGTGTGGAGTTTGCATGTTCTCCCTGCGTTCACGTGGGTTTCCTTTGGGTGCTCCGGTTTCCCCCACAGTCCTAATACATGCGGTACAGGTGAATTGAGTAAGCTAAAATTGTCTGTAGTGTGTCATTGTGAAATAGTGTGTGTGGATGTTTCCCAGAGATGGGTTGCGGCTGAAAAAACATGCTGGATAAGTTGGTAGTTCATTTGATATATATATATATATATATATATATATATATATATATATATATATATATATATATATAATATATATATCAAAATACATGCTTGTGTGTTTTCCAAATTATATACAGTTGGCAAAATAAGTATTGAACACATCAACTTTTTCTCAGAGAACATATTTCTAAAGGTGCCATTGACTTGATGCGATTTCGGCTTCTAGCGATCATGAAAAACCATTATTCGAGATAAACGATTATTCCATTATTTACCGCCCCCTTTCCAGTTGTAAACATTTGTTGCTCTTAAAAGCGCGAACTAAACCACATGCTCCTGTGTGTGATTGCGGCGCGCACACACAGTCACATGCAATCGGTCAGCATTCGCACACTGTGACGAGCAGAGTGCACACACATCTAAAGTCATTAACGCAAGTGTTTTATGTTCAAATAGGTGGCAAAACGCTGTGTTTAGTGATTATTCCTATTAATCCTCCTTTGTGTAATAAACAAATGAGATGAGGATCAAAAGACATGTGAAAGCGAAACCATTTAAGTGACAGCGTGCAATTTCTACTGCCGTCTGTTTCGATCAGTATTAATCAAATCAGACTGAAGGACCTTTGTAGCTAAAGTGTTTTTCTTACAGTGAAGATGCTTAAAGCACAGTTTGTTTCATATATTTATTCTATTGTATTTATTTTTCTTTCCTTTGCAGGGAGGAAAATAACTATATATACAGTTGAAGTCAGAATTATTAGTTCTCCTGAATATTACCCTTTTCCTCCCCAATTTCTTTTTAATGGAAAGAAGATTTTTTTCAACACATTTCTAAACATAATAGTTTAAATAACTCATTTCTAATACCTGATTTATTTTATCTTTGCTATGATGACAGCACATAATATTTGACAAGATATTTTTCAAAATACAAACATTCAAATTCAAAGTGCCATTCAAAGGCTTAATTAGAGTCATTGTAAAGTCACTGTATAACAGTAGTTTCTTCTGCAGACAATCAAAAATATATATTCTCTAAAGGGGCTAATGATATTGAGCTTAAAATAGGTTTCAAAATATTTAAACCTGCTTTTATTCTAACCAAAATAAAACAAATAAGCCTTTCTCCAGACGAAAAAAAATTATAAGAAATGTTGTTAAAATTCCTTGCTTTGTTAAACATCATTTAGGAAATATTTATAAAAAAATAAATTCTATGGAGCGCTAATAATTTTGACTTCAACAGTAATCGTTTTGAATCATCGTGATTACAATTATGACCAAAATAATTGTGATTATGATTTTTTATCAATAGACAACTGTATTTCTTGTAATAACTAATATTAAAAAACCTAGCAAATGTAGCTAAACATACTGCTGAAAACTAATGTTAAGATATTAATCAATATAACGAGATCTTACTGTAAAGCATTACCTATTATTATGCAGATAGTATAGTTTTATAGCACTTGATAGCAAAAAAATAGGTAAATCTGGTTTTATATTCGCACATATAATGTTTACCACAACACTTTAAATATTCGGTCTAAAATCACATGTAAATTTGACTTAAAAATAACATTAGCACTATTTATTTGACTGTGAACAATGTTAATAATAATATTTGATAGTCATTGGCTCCAAATATGATTTCTTTATTTAGAGTTTACTGAAAATGTATTCTTAAGGGTATGTGTAAATATGAAACCAACTTTACCTCAATCAAAAAAAAAAAAGACTATTGGAAAGTGAGACCAAATCTTAATGTACATTGCATGAAATGAATCAATTGCACTAAATAAAACGGAAGCATTGGTCTTACCAGAGCCTGCATGTCATACATAGTACTCAGGTGATCCCAGATGACTTTAGATGACACCTGTCTGCCGATATTTTGACTGAACTTATCACGAATACAGATCATGTGGAAATGACGATTCACCCCTACAAATGAGAAACAGATCCACACTCCTTACAGCACAGAAAACCCCTTTGTGTTTTTGCAAAGTTAGCCTAGCCGTGATGCTAGCCGGCTAGTTAGCAGACGTGCTAATGTTTGCTAACATCACAAACAAACCGCTATACCCCAGCCATAATCACATTAATAATATATTAATAAAGTGTAAAAAATGTAAAAGTTCACAATAAATCTCAAATCTGTAATGTAAGTTACATGTTATGTTAAGCTATGTTAAGTTAGTTACTTTGTCATTTAGCAATTGGTACTCAATTAAGCTCACTAAAGCATAAATAAAATCGCTTTAGTTACATTAATTATAACGTAATTCAGTATTGTAAAGTATGATATGTATCATTTAATTGAAAGTATTACTATTTTTAGATCAGTAAAAAGCAAACGGAGCAAATGTTTCTGTTTATGATGCTGTATTGTTTCACGTGTGGAGTCATACATGGAGATAATGGCCTATTAATTCACATCATTCAAGCATGAATTCATCTTACCTACGGGTTTGTGACCGAGCATGGCGTGAAAAAGACACACTTCGACTTCCTGACTCCATACAATCGATTCTTCGGCTGTACAGACGCCAGTTTCTGCGGGTTTTTCGTCTGATGGCACAGTCTCCGCTTCCCCCATGTTTCTGCAGTCTCGCACACACACTGGTGCTAACGTTAACCCAGTTCATCACAGGAACCAGCATCACCAAACGAGAACGAACACACAAACACACGCACGCGCACACACACACACTTTGTGCAGTCTCGTATTGACCTATTTGCTAAATTAATAAACGACAACAATAAATATAATACATTTGAATACATAAATAAAACTATCATTATTATGATAATGATTTTAGCTTCCCTACAGTCTTTTGTTTAAAAAGGTTTGACATTTGTATGTTATTATTTATTATTTTATTTATTTTTATAATGTTTATATATTTTTTATTTATTAAATTAATAAAACAAATTGTTTGTTATTTAAAGCTATATTTGTTCGATAATAATATCAAGGTTTGCTCATCTAGTTTTGTTTTATTTATTTTGTATGTCTCTTTTGCTTCCAGTTAATCTTCTGTTATCGTTAAAGGTGCTGTGTAAGTTTTGACTCCTAAAACATAAAAATACCACATGTTTGCAGATATAACATGCTAAATGAATTCTTGTTTATCTGAAAAACAATGCTGAAGTCGATATTCTACTTTAAAAATATGTTTTCCGTGCCAGTGTTGTATCGAAATCTTATATAAAGCTTTATATATGCACACGTGATACCCTCTATACATATGCGCACATGATACACTCTATACATATACATACATGATATACTCCATACATGTGCACACACTATACAGTACATACTCTACACTAAAATTATACACTCCATAGATATACACACATGATCCACAGATGAATAAGCCATGTCAGGGTCTGGGATAGAACCCAGGTCTTTGGCATTAGAGGTGAGGCACGTAACCACTGAGCTACTGGGAGCGGATAAGCCATAAATATGCACACATGATACACTCCATATATATGCACACATAATACACATGCACACATGATACAGTCTATACATTTAAACACAGGATACACTGCATATAAATGCGCACATGATACACTCTATGCATATACAAACATCAGTGACTACATACACTCCATACATAAGCACACATGATACACTATACATATGCATACATGATACACTCAGATGATACACTCAATACATACACACACTCCATACATATGCACAGTTGATACATTCTATACATATACACACATGATACACTCCAAACATATGCACACCATACAATTACACATGATACACTCCATATATATGCACACATAATACACATGCACACATGATACAGTCTATACATATAAACACAGGATACACTGCATATAAATGCACACATGATACACTCTATACATAAACAAACATCAGTGACTACATACACTCCATACATAAGCACACATGATACACTATACATATGCATACATGATACACTCAGATGATACACTCAATACATACACACACTCCATACATATGCACACTTGACACATTCTATACATATACACACATGATACACTCTATACATATGCACACCATACAATTACACATGATACACTTCATACATATGCACACATGATACATACCGTACCCTCCATGCATAAGCACACATGATATACAGATGATACACTCCTTTCAGAGACTGGGATCTCCGGGACCGTGTCTCTGGCGTGAGGAGTGAGGCATGTAATGTATAGAGTGTACACAAAAAAAACTCTATACATATGCACACATGATACAGTCCATATAAAAGCACACGTGACACACTCCATATATATGCACACAATACACTCTATAGATATACACACATGATACACTCCATATATATACACATGACACACTCTATACATATACACAGATGATACACTTCTGCCAGGATCTGTGATAGAACCCGGGTCTCTGGCGTGAGAGGGAAGGTATGTAACCACTTTGTGTTGACTACTGGGAGTTGATAAACCCAAACGTGATAAATGCAAACATGATACACTCCACACATATGCACACATGATACACTCTATACATATACACACTATACATATGCACACGTTACACTATAAATATAAACACTCCATACATATGCACAAATGATACACTCTATACCCATACACACATGATACACTCTATACATATTCACACCTACACTCCATACATAAACATGCATGATACACTTCATACATATAATACATTTAAATGCACACATGATACACTCTTTATATGCACACACGATACACTATACAAATGCACACATGATACACTCCATATACATGCACACGTTACACTCTAAACATATGCACACAATACACTATATACATATATATATATATATATATATATATATATATATATATATATATATATATATATATATATATATATATATATATATATATATATATATATTAAGGGTGGAGCCGAATACGGTATTCGGAAAGGCACGAATAGCGTGTTTTTACGAATACTTATTTCGAACAAATACTTGAAAAATTATTTGTATTCGGGAGCAAGAAAAACATTATATCAAAAAGCAGCGTTTCCTCATGAGACCACAGTGCATGCCCGCGTGAGTGAGTGAGAGAGAGAGAGAGAGAGAGACGCTCAGTCAGAAGTCGGAGGGCAGGGCGGAGGTAAAAGGTGTCTGGCACAAGCTTCTCCACAGCAACAGACAGAGAAGGCTCGGCTGAGCGAAAAAAATACTTCACTGCATCACTATTTTTGTTAAATAGATTTTTGTACCTTAATTGGGTTCCAGATGCAGTTTATAAACTTGTAGTTTGATCGGGATATTCCATTACGCTGCAAGGGTGGAGCCGAATACGGTATTCGGAAAGGCACGAATAGCGTGTTTTTACGAATACTTATTTCGAACAAATACTTGAAAAATTATTTGTATTCGGGAGCAAGAAAAACATTATATCAAAAAGCAGCGTTTCCTCATGAGACCACAGTGCATGCCCGCGTGAGTGAGTGAGAGAGAGAGAGAGAGAGAGACGCTCAGTCAGAAGTCGGAGGGCAGGGCGGAGGTAAAAGGTGTCTGGCACAAGCTTCTCCACAGCAACAGACAGAGAAGGCTCGGCTGAGCGAAAAAAATACTTCACTGCATCACTATTTTTGTTAAATAGATTTTTGTACCTTAATTGGGTTCCAGATGCAGTTTATAAACTTGTAGTTTGATCGGGATATTCCATTACGCTGCATTTTTGAAGTTTGCAATCGGGTGCTCTCTGTTTACATAACGTTAGCTCTGTTAGCGTGGTAATTTAAACAATAGACTGTTGACAAAGTATCGTTAACGTTCGTTTATAAAGGTTAAAACTATGCTTGTGCAGTTGTGTCGAATAGTATGCACTTATGGGAGTTATATGGTACGTCTATATTACTGTCTTTTGCAGACAGCAAGATATATGCTATAGGCTAGTTAACCTTAGCATAGCTTCCCGTCACTTTTTATTAACTTGAAACTCCTCAAATACATTTGGGCACCCAGAAAAAGAGTGAAAAAGAGTGAGACTGCTGCTGAGCCATTTCTTGGTCCTCCACCAGTCAAAAAAAAAAAACTTCATGTTCTTTGTGGAAGAATTTTACAGTCAGTGGAGCTGCAGATAAAACAAACTGATACTGTATAATGTGTGCAAAAGTGAAATTAGCAGAGGCAGAGATATTAAACATCTGTCAACATCTTCTATGCATAATCATTCATTCATTTCTTTTCGGCTAAGTCCCTTTATCAATCTAAGGTTGCCACAGTGGAATGAACCACCAATTTATCCAGCATATGTTTTACGCAGTGGCTGCCCTTCCAGCTGCTACCCAGCACTGGGAAACATCCATACACTCTCTTTCACACACATACACTAGGGACAATTTAGCTTACCCAATTCACCTGTATTGCATGTGTTTGGACTGTGGGGGAAACCGGAGCACCCGGAAAAAACCCACGCCAACATGGGGAGAACCCAGTCGGGGCTCGAACCAGCAACCTTCTTGCTGTGAGACGACAGTGCTACTCACTGTGCCACCGCGCAACCTTCTATGTAATGTATTATGCACTAAAAGCATCCTCTCCTAATACTGTCTTTGAAACCCCCACAAGCATCAATCCCCTCAATCAGCACAGCTTTGTTCTGCTAAATCCTTCACAAGCACCAAATCATCAACACAGCCACATTCTGCCCCAGCAAGTCAGTTTCAAACATAAAAAAAAAAAAAAACTTTGTGTCTGTTTTGTGGCAGGCAGATGACAATAGCAGGGCTGTATCTTTTAGTATTATATAGAATACTTTTTTTTCTGCCAGATCTCCCAGGCAGGGTTTTATTTAGATTTATTTAGTTAATTTTAGTTTTTGGAATTCTGTGCATTGGAAAGAAGTTCTTTCAGATGAAGAACAGTTTTTTGAAGTATTATTTGTTTTTATTCTGTCTATTCAGTGTCCTTCAACGCGAACGGTAGAGGTGGTGGGGTTCATAATATTCACAATGGTATTTTATTAGTTGGTGGTTTAACTATGGATGAGATTATGGCTTCTATGTTATTTTCTTTTCAATGACATTTCTTGTCACATGTTCAAAAACAACAACCAATATTGCATATCTATAATTTATATAATGGGTATAATTAAACAATACTTTCACTATAACGTAAATTAGAAGTGTAATAGAAAAAATATATATTTTTGCGCCATTTTGAATTTTACTCGAATACAAATACAAATACTTTTCCTCCCTCAACAAATACAGATACAAATACCGGCTTCTCCGCACATCCCTAATATATATATATATATATATATATATATATATATATATATATATATATATATATATATATATATATATATACATGATACATAATATAATATATATGCTGTTTTGGGTTGGTGATTGATTCTTTTTGTTTCTTGGGGGCTGTTCCAGAAAGCAGGTTATGTGACATACTCAGGTAACTTTGAGAGTAAGTCGGTGGATAACCTCAGCTTTGGTTCGAAAATCGGAGGTAACTTCTGGGTATGTTAAGTAGCCATAGCAACTTACTCTTTGAAGATAACCTGCTCTGGAGACACCAGCTTGCTGAGCAAAGCCTTTAGGAGGCGAATCTCAAGTCTGGCCTTGGTTTGCTGCAGTTTGGTCAGAGTCAGTTGTTCCTCTACCAGATGAAGCTGTGCTTCTGCTCTTTCAGTC